AGATATGGAAAAAATTGGCGAAAATCGGGAAAAAATCTGAAAAAAAAACAATATAAATAGAGAGAAGAAAAATTACGAAAATTCGTAAAAAATAATAAAATATTCAAGCCGAAGTAGTAATGGAATTAATTTTTATAAAGTTGTTATGGTGGACATAGAAGAAGAGACAGCAGAAAAATAAGGAAGCAATTGATAATTCATCATTTATCCCGCTTAGAAATAATAAACATGCTCGGCGTCGGTGTATTGATGTAAATTTTCGAATTTATTTTTAGTTGAAAATATTATTTTTTATGTTTATTCCACGTATCAGGCCATATTTTACTGCTCAATTACATTTTTTTTTGAATATATATCTTTTAGCGCTATTAAAATTAATGTAAAATACACAAATTAAAATATTAGAATTTTTCCATTTAAATTTATTGGAATTTGAATTTTGCATAAAGTACATAAATAATTGCCAAAAATAAGCATTACAAAAAATTTAAATCATAAAGCAGTAAGAGTAAATAAACATTAAGAATATAATTAAATTTAAAAAATAAAAAAAAATTTAAAAATTTATTAATCTCTGTACAGACAAAATTATATATTGTATATATAGAGCGCAATAACACACATTTATCTTAAAAAAAAAAAAAAAAACAAAAAAAAAAATCATACAAATTATGCACAGTTATCAGTCTGACTATTTCGTTAAAGAAGTGACGTCATAAATTGACAGCTTTTTCATTCATTCATTCATGCACTAGCCTGCTATAATATGATTTTGTTTGTACTGAAACTCATATATGAACTTTTATAAAAATCATTTTCAAAATATTATTCTTAGCATTATCTCTCATTTTTAATATATTTGTTTATATAAATTTATATTGACAAATCAACAAAAAAAAAAAAAAACAAAAAACGTTCCTCCCACACTACTTGTGATTTCAGCGCTTGCAATTATCGGCTTCCACTTAAATATGCAATCAAACTACGGTTAGCGTACACAATAAATTACTTAGCGGTTTTGCGGTTTTTTTTTTTTGTATGATTCGAATTTTTTTAACGTGAGTATCTGCATTTGCATACGCCTATATTCACGTGTAATATATACGATGTTGTATATGTATGTAGTATATTTACTTTTACATTCATATTTTTGCTATTTTTATTTCTTCATATCATTGGAATAATGCTTTTTCATGTTCTATGATATTTTTGACAAAATGTGCCCGATTTTTGTTTGCTTGCGCGGTTTTAATGCTGGATTTATATGGATCGGTTAAAGAGTTTTTTTGTATACGCTGTTTTATCGCCAATTTTCGATGCCCTTTTTACGTAGGTGTGTTAAAATTTTTTGCAAAGTCATATTGGTTGAGGTGGTACGAATTTAGTTTATTATTTTTTATTATCATATATATAGTTTGCTTTTATTTAATTTTTTTAGTTTTATTTTAATCTATTAGTTTTATTTTAATTTAATTTATTTTATTTAATTTAATATATTTAATTTAATTTAATTTAATTTAATTTAACTTATTCCATTTTATTGAGTATTTTAGTTTATTTCACTTCGATTTATTTTATTTTATTCCATTTTATTTTATTTTATTTTATTTTATTTTATTTTATTTTATTTTATTTTATTTTATTTTATTTTATTTTATTTTATTTTATTTTATTTTATTTTATTTAGTTTATATTATATTAAATAATTTTATTTTTCTAATAGTTTTTAATTTATTGTCTTTTTTATTTCTTGTTTATTTATTAGTTTAGTTTAATATACAATTTTTAAAATTATGTATTATATATATACCTTTATTTTAATCACACTTTAATTTATTTTATTCTATTTCATATTATTATATTCTTGAGTTTTTCTTATTTCTAAAAAATATCTATTAGCTCTCTATTTTCGTTATCATTCATGTCAATTAGCCAATTATTGAGAAAATAATTGGCATACATTGGCATACATTGAAACTAAAAATAATATACAATATGACACACATAATTGTTCGTATAATTTCTCGGCAATTACTTTGTAAGTCCATTAAAAGATCTTACGATGCGTGGCAGGCGTTTGTAGGTCAGGAAACTCATAAAGAATTCTTTTATTTTTTTTTTGAATATTCTATTATTTGCCCCACCGGGCTGCCATAAAGTTAATGCGCTGGCAAATATTTCAAATATCGACATGTACGAAAAAATTTTGGGCAAGCAATTGGGTGTTGTTATGGTCATGAAATTATTTTGATATCATAATTCTTGTTCTTCTTCATGCTATTTGTGTTTTATTTTTATATAATTTTGTTATTTCTGTCTTTCGACGTTAGCCATCTGCTATGCTTGAGTGCTTTTATGGGTTACTCATTTTTGCTCTTCGACAGACGCCAAGGTTGTATATATGTATATGTATGTATATACGACATGTATTTTATGTGACGCATGTGATTTTTAATTTTAAATAAACAAAGTGTCATAAAAAATGAAATGAACTAAACAAAAAAGAAAAATAAATTAAAATAATATTTATATTAAAATATATAACAAAATTATATAAAGTGTTTTAAAAAATAAAATAAATAAAATAAAATAATTTAAAATTTTATATTAATTAAAATATGTTATAAAATTATCTTATATATGCAATACTTATCTAAAGTAAGGTATATTTATACCAAAAAAAAAGTATATATATATATGTATATGGTTTTGTGTTTATTGATATGTGACATTCATAATGCGCCAACGCGTTCCATCGATATGCGCATTTCAACCACAATTTTACAATCTTTTCACATAAAATTTCCATTCAAATGCGCCAACTTTATAGACACACTTTTGACTAAAAAAACGCCACGAATCCATTATGGATAAAAAAAAGAAGAAAATAAACGCCCTCTGTTTATCGCTTTCAACTCTTAGCCACCGTAAAGTGGTTTTTGTCCAATTTAATTTTGTTGTTGCCGCTAATGTTGATGCTCTTGGTGACCCACTTAAAATTCAGTGTTCCTCTCGTCGGCTTTTTGCGCCTCCCGTTGTCTTTAAGTGAGAGCCACATTAAATTTGGTTTTTCCTGGTTTTTCGTGGATTTTTTTTAACGGTATATTGTGGAAGTAAATGCGACAGCCGCTTCTTTATTAAATATATAAAATTTTGCTGTGAATTTCATGCTCTTGATTTAGGAAAATTTTAATATGCTCACAGGTGTTTATGTTAAACATACAAAATATATACAGATGTATGTATGGACGCACATACATACAATTCGCCAAAGTCATTTTGTTATTTTCACGCTCGATGCTTATAAGTCACAGCTCATATTTTTTTGTAAATCACTATATCCTTTTGAAAGACGCATTTGATATACCTACATAAATATAGAAAAATCCACAAGTCATAGTTCATAAGTATCTAAAGAGTATTTTGCGCTTTGTCGCCTTAGGGAGGAGTTGAGGCCTTTGTATGTGTATAAAAACTGTGCTTTTGAGTTATAAACTGTAAATTCTGCTTATCCTCTTTTGCACAAAATGACAAGTAGCAGATGATTTGATTATTTATATAATGAGATAATTTTGGAATTATGCGTGGGTATTATATGAAAATGATTTAGCTGATTTTTATAATCATTTATAGTCATTTGCTTGATACCCATGTATGTGTAAGGTGTGTTCCAAAAATAAGAAGATTCTGCGATTCTCGATTTATTTATGTTAGGGCATATGTGGGGTATTTACAGCGGGGCTATACTAAATTCCTACTATTGTGTCCATGTCGCTCACCCTGGAAACATGAGCAAGCCTCGTGTAAGTTGAGGTAACTAACCCGTGTGAAGGAGGTAGAAAGCAGTACCAATGAAAAATGTACAACAGCCTCGGATTAAGGACTGACATCACTGTCTTCCTAGAAGTGCCATGAACGGATAATGATGACACACCCCTGCAACAGGTGCACAGATCTCGTGTCGGATTTGGGATGGGGTGAGGGAAAGATCCTGTTGCTCCTGACTTGATGTAAGAAAAAGATGGCATGACCAAGGATGCCTCTTATGAACGCCTGAAGCATACTTAGGAGCTCTGCCCCGCAATGTTATGAAAATTTCGCTTTGCAATTGAAGCTGCAGTGTGTGCAAAGAAGGTATCTTTGACACATTTGTTGTCGAAGTCAGCTTCCGAATGGGTTCTGGCGGATCAACTTCACCGGAGGCTGAGATATGGTTGACGGTTTTACTTGATGCTGGATCGAAAATCACATAATTAATAGCTGGGCGACATGTCTATAGTGTTCTTGACATGCTTATGCTCCGTGCATTAAAGTTCGACCAAGACCACAAGGACCACTATCTTGTCAGCAAGGATACGCACCCGATTCCACAGATTTTCCTTTCCGCAAATGCGGTATTTTTGTTAGTTTACACCGCCAGAGAGTGTGAGACGTGCTTTGTAGGTCATTAAATATTCTTTGTTTTAATTGCAATTTAATGGAAACAAATTCAAATCGTCTTTCAAAATATGACGACTTCAGACAGACCATTTCAGCGTCTAAATGTTGGTTCTCTTGGGGGTATTAACGGAGTCTCTATCGTTGAAATACCATCTTTACAGTCGAGGTAAGGTGGAATCGGTTGGGTACAAATCATGCACTGAAGAAGACGAAGCGCTGGAGCAAGTCCCCGGCCTACAGCCACTTGAGACATCATACCTAGCATGGACCAGAGCTGAGTCGTATGATTGTATGCAATTGAAACAGTTCATTGGTTCATTAAATCGAGGAACCCTACGCAAACACCCATTTGGGATACGTGGGGGAGCACCATGAGTCCACTCAATGGCTAAGTGCGTCCGCTGGCGATCAGGTTTACAATCTACACTTTCATACAACCAACTAATAGTCCTACACCTACTTGTTTTACTGTCTTTAATAACGTCACCTTTCATCTCTGCCAAAATTAATTCATAATTATTGAGCAAGTGAATAACCCATTATCCTTACTCTACTTGCAGGCAGTCGCTTAGCATAACAACAATGCTGTAAGGACAACGCCAAAGCAACATCAAAATGCGCAAATTTAATTGTTTACAGCGTTTGCTTTGAAGTGCTTGGCGCCACTTTATTGCGTCAAAACCACAATCAAAAACAACGGATGAGTTACGTGCACACAGTCAAAATGTCGACCACCTCCGAAAATTGCCAGCCAAAGATCACCACCGACTAGAAACCGTTAATTAAAATCTTTCAGACCACCAAGCAACTACTACAACAAAAATAACAAGGACGACTGGCATTCACTGGCGTTTTGATTCATTTTGGGTGTCACGTACGCGTGAGTCAAGCGCTCGACAAGCTTCTAAGACCACCTAAGACACACACGTGAGTGCGCAGGAACAAGCAAGTGGAGACGCGAGTAGAGAAACAATGATGGCGCAGCCATTGAATTGTCCTGCGAATGTTGATATGTGCACAGGTTATGCAATGAGTGCTCATACACGCAGAGCAGCGACCGTGTGGCGTCGCCGAAAACCCGCAACCACAGTGACGATGGTAATACTGTTGATCAACGTCGCCTCAACGGCACTGACATTGGCGGCGGCGGCAGCGGTGACTTTGCAAACAACTGAGCGGGCGGCGCTGAGCAATACTAACAACAACAACAACAGTAGAAATGGCACGCTAGCGAATATCACAACAATAATTGTGGATGCCAACAATGGTGGCGACGGCGACGGCGCCGTGAATGCCACGTCAACGCAAAACATCATCCAATTAAAGTTACCCATTTCGCTGATGGCAACAACCATCGTGCCATACCCCGAACAGCATCAGGGCACTAAGGTGACCAACGCCAACAATAACAATGACGTCGCCACAGACTATGAGTATGAGCATAGAAGCGATTTGATCAACAATAAGTGGATTCAAGTCGTCTTCTGCATTATCTATGCCACAGTTTTCGCACTCGGCATATTCGGCAATGTGCTCGTATGCTACGTTGTGATACGTAACCGTACAATGCAGACTGTGACGAATATTTTCATTACGAATCTGGCGCTATCCGATATTTTGCTGTGCGTGCTGGCTGTGCCCTTTACGCCACTCTACACCTTTATGGGTCGTTGGATCTTTGGTGAGTTTCTCTGTCATCTCGTCTCCTTTGCGCAAGGTTGCAGCATATACTTGTCTACATTGACTTTGACGGCGATCGCTGTGGATCGTGTGTTTGTTATCGTCTTCCCCTTCCGGCCGCGCATGAAGCTGACAACGACCATCTTCATACTCATCACAATTTGGATACTCTCGATTGTGTTCACGCTCCCCTACGGCCTCTTCATGCGTATCGTTATTACGGAGACATATCTGAGGGTCGCTAATGAGACGACGAGCATTGACACCGAAACAACCACTAATGACACGGCGATTCTGCGCATTGTCACCGATAATAGTAGTAAGGAGGCGTACAGCGAGTATGCCATTGCGACTTTGGCTACGACAGTTTCAAATATCACAGATTTGGCTTTATATACACCCAAAGACAGTGCCAAAACAGCGTTGATGCCAAGAGGCAATGCCATATATACCACCTACTGTGAGGAGAATTGGCCCACGGAGCAGTTTCGGCGTGGTTATGGTTTTGTTACCGCCTTATTTCAGTTCTTTGTGCCGCTGTTCATCATTACTTGTTGCTATGTGTGGGTGTCGGTGAAACTGAATTCACGTCAGCGTAGTAAACCGGGCAACAAGTCAGTGGCACGCGAGGAGGCAGATCGTGAGCGTAAAAAGCGTACGAACTACATGTTAATGGCCATGGTGGTCGTTTTCGCTATCTCTTGGCTGCCCATCAATGTGGTTAATGTCATTGACGACTTTTATGATAAGTCAAACGATTGGCCTTTCTACACATTCATATTCTTCATTACACACGCCATTGCAATGTCTTCGACTTGCTACAATCCCTTTCTGTACGCCTGGTTGAATGATACCTTTCGTAAGGAGTTCAAAAATGTCTTACCCTGCTTCAATCCATCCGCACAGCGTTTGTCGTCATCAAATCGTCGCTGCTTCAATCGTTCGGATCGCAACACATGCGGCGGCACGCGTCATCGTGATATGGGCAATGGTTGTGGTCTGGGCGCAAGTATGGATTTGGATGATGGTGATGAGAATGATAATGGTATTACGCAGGAAACGTCGTTGGCGCGTACGAAGGAGCGTGATACGAGTACGACGCGTACACATGCGCCGTGTAGTAATGGCAGTGATGCCGTGAAGTCGCATAAGTCGGGCGATTTAGTGTTGGTGCACAAGCCGCACGTGGCGGATACAGCGCTAAATGATAAGCGGCAGTGCGTGTTCGATGAGGATTGCGTGTCGGGTGATGAGAATACAGTGGAGATGCGTTTTGTGAATCTAAAGAATTCAACGGATATCTGTCTAATGGAAGCGGGCTTCAATAAAGAGGTGGGCGAGCAAGATTATGACTAACAATTGGTGAGTTTAGTATGTAAGACTGAGTGTGTGAGAGTGCGACAAAATGAGCTGTGAGTGTATGAGTAGTAGAGGGAGGTGAAAAGAGGGTACGATATGGGAAAGAGATAAATAGGGAGAGAGACAGAAAGAGAGGGGGAGAGAGGCTGAAAAACATAGAGTTAGTTGGAGGGAGAGAAAGAGAGAGAGAGAGAGAGAGAGAAAGAGAAGGTTTTGGAATGGTAAACAACTGGTCGTTGGTGGAGTTACCAGGTCTGAAGTCACACTGAATATGGGGGGGGGGCTTAATCTTTCCGACAATACGGTAAGCATCAAAATAATTGTCGCACATATTTAGATCACTCTTCATGTAGATTCAGGTCACCATAGTTACATTCCATTCGTCGATAGAGGGATGGAATTAGAGAGGCAAAGAGAGAGAGGGAAAGATAGAGGGAAAGACAGAGGCAAAAAGAGAGGGAAAGAGAGAAGGAAAAATAGAGGGAAAGAGAGGCAAAAAGGTGAGGAAAAGGTGAGGAAGGTGAGGACTGTGTTCGTTTAAGCAATTTATAAAAATAAATTTTAAAAAAGGACTGCAAATCTTTTATACAAATTATCATAATAGCTTTTCTAAATCACTGTACCGTTTCTTCCCCGCAAGTACATGTCAAGCTCAAACAATCCCTATTCGTTACATCGCTCTTTCTTCACATGTGTACATATATACATATCTGTAGTTGTACTTGTGTAGGAAATTCCATTTATGCTGGGATTTTATGAGTTAGAATTGCGGAAGTAAGCGGATTAGCATATTGCCGATAGGCGAATTCTTAACAAAAGAGACTTAGGCGAGGTAACAAAAGAACACAGTAGAGCCCTACATGTGAGCATATGTATGTAAACACATGAGATTTATGTGCGCTCGTGAGTGAGTCCGCATATAGTTCTTCATAGCAATGGAGTGTCTACATGTTGCGCTCTTTCTTCGTTCTTCCTCTCTCTATATATATATCTCTCTCTCTCTCCTTCTCTCTCTCTCAGCTGTATATGCCTAACTAAGTTGCGGATTTCCTTCTGTTATCGTTTATGCTTTGCTTGGGGATTATGTAAGATGACTGTCTGCCTGCATGAAGAAATGTGTAATCGTATACATTGCGTAGAGGCACAGATAAGCTTGGAGGCAATACGTAATCTCGACAAGAGTGTGTGTGTGTTTTTTTCAATGCCTCTTATTCGTACATACATGAGTTTCCTTTTGCAATACACTGCCTCAGGAGAGGTACACCAGTGCCTGGATATACGTAGATAGACACATCAACCGAGCTTATTTCTATCTTGTTTTGGTACATTACCAGGTCAGTTGGTAACAATTGCTCATCAAACGCATTGTAGCATAAGGGTGAGGGGGGCATAGACTTACTGTTGGCACAAAGTTGTTAGAGCACTTGAAGTTTTTAAAAGGCCAAAGTTTTTACAATGTTTATCTTGTTGTGAAAATATTCTTTTTTCTGCTCTGTATTTCACTTTATTTTTTACATATTGTACATGTGTACAAGTATAAGAGTGCGTTGGCATTTCGTTTTTATTCACCTGCTTGTCAATGTGTCGTAGCATTTGCTGTGATGTCCTTTAAATTTGCTTTAAGCAAATGCCCTCTCTTCTATGCTATATTTACAGGACATTTAGTTGTTGGGCAACAACTTTTATACCGTCAAACGGCTTTTAACAAACTTAGTTGATAAGTGAGGAAACTCAGTATAAGTCCGCAGCTTTTGCATTTGAATTAGGAATATAAATGCTCCTCAAACGGTCATAATGACCAAATTTAAAGTTAAAATTTTTATTTGTGTTTCTTATATGAACTTTAGATGAACGGATCCAAGAAAGTAATATTCTCCTTGTAGCGCCCATAGCTTTTTTGGGAAAAATAAAAACAAAATGGAAAGCGACGAGAAAATTTGAATTTCTAATTTTCATTTCGAGATTAAAATAATTAGCAAAACTAATTTAAAAACCGAAAATAACCAAATTAAAAAAAAAAAAATAAATAAAAATACTTTGCATTATTAATATTAAAGGGCATAAGGAATTCAACACATTAAAAATTGTCTTCACTAAAAATATTAAAATAAATATATTTTTTATATATTAAAAAAAAAAAAAAAAAAATTAAATGAAAATCATAGAAAAAAACTAAAACTTTCAATTAACAAAAATTAAGGTAAATTAAAATAAATAATTTAGGCCGAAAATCGACAAGCTGTTACAAAGCGCCAATTATATATATATTATTTAATTTCAAAGCAAAACAAATTTTTCTTACAAATATAAAATTAAAATATGTTCAAAAAATTAAAATTTAAAAATGCTCAATACCTAAAATGAAAAAAAAAAAAATGTTTCTAACCAGTAAAAAAAAATTATGAAAACTGCACAAACCATGTAACTTGTTCTGTAGGGCATGCAGAGTGAATAACGAAACACTGGAGCACTACAAATTGACAGTGTGCGCCTTCATCCCATTAAGATGTCACATCTTTCACTATGCTCTCAGCTCAAACCTCACAGAGGTGAGCAAAAACTAAAATATTTTATAAAAACCGATGCATAGGAGAGCCTGCTCAATGTCTAAGATAGGGTCGCTTGCGGCTCCAACCAACTAATCAACCAACCACTCTAACTTATTAATATATAATAGAGGTAGGACTCAAACGTTAAGAGAAAAACCGTGAAGTAGTCTTAGATCTGACGCTAGGCAGTGAAAACCTTCACAATTAGACGTTTATTCAGTATATTACAAGCTCGAAAGCTCGATACGAACTTTAGTTTTCTGACATCTCTGGTGCATTCACTGGGCAAACATACTATCACTAAGACGTTAGACAGTAGAATAGTTAGTGGATAATCTAGTAAACGTTTTCGCAAATTCCTCTTCAGAAACTTTAAGTCGAGCGTGTAGATTGCGTGTGTAGCGGGGAAAGTGCAAGCCACAGAGATTTGGGCAATCTTTGGACATTATTATGTAGGAAGCTCTTCAATCGGGCTTAGAGACTGTCTGAAGATCTTCACTGGAAACTTTATGGAACGGAATTAAGAGTCTATAAAAAGGGTATAAAGAGTGCAAATAGGACTTCTTGTGAAGATTTTAACAGTGCTGATGAGGGAACTGCGGAAACCACAATGCTAAGGGCGGCTAAGTCTGAGTCCTCAAGGACAGGAGATTTCCTGCACTACTTCTGGAAAGGAAAATATAGCATTTTTTAAAGGGATTTACTTTCCTGGCCAGTCGCAGACTCCTTTCAGTTCAACTCATTTGTCAAGAGCTATAAATCTACCAAGCACGGACGAAATAGTAATCAAATCTACCCATACAAAGCTCCCGGGTTGAACTGTATTTCGCTGTTTAGCGCCAATTGAAAATACATAGTACAGAGTACAGCTAGGTGCTCCTCCAGCTAAACTTTCTTTCCAATGAAGTAGATATCTTCCTCTGCTATATCGAAAACTCTCAAAGCTAGAGTGCTCTTATTCATCCGGACCACATGACATAGCCAGCGCAGTAGCTGTCTTTTAATGAGCTGAACTATGTCGAAGTCGCAGTACATCTCATACCGCTCATCGTTCCATGCGGTACCATTTGCTGCCAACGCGCAGAGAAAAATAAATCTTAGACAAAAACTGTTTCTTAAAACCGCATAGTCCATGCCTTCACTCCATAAAGCAGGACAAAAAGAATGAGTGACTTATAGAGTTTGGTATTTGGGGGACTTTAAAATCTGGAATCGACGAAGAGTCGGTGTGTGTCGACCAGGATAATAATCGATAATTTCCTTGTTAATGGTGACCGTTTTTTTTTTAGATTAGAATTGGAGCATTCTCAGCATAAAATAAAAAAAATCACCATGTCATATGAGCAACATTTAGTAAGCGTCGGCGAAAGACAAAAAATGCTTAACGTTTGCACTCATTATATTTCTTTAGTACGAGACTCATATTGCATTGAATACATTTTTCTGCATTAAAATTATTGTTAAAAATTTTTTAAAATAGTTTTTTTCCAAAAAAATTTCGTTTCGAAACAAAAATTTTCAAAACATACTATGTTGTCGGCCCTTTTACATATACTTTTTTCAAAAATTTCGAAAATCATGGCAAACATATATCAAAATCAACCAACGATTCGCTTAAAATTCAGTATTTTACATAAAAAAGGATTCAAAATATTATTAGCTTTCAGTCCTTGTCTCATATGAACATATGTATATTGGCATAGATGTATGTATATAATTGGCAGAAAATCCATTTAAACGCAAAAAAAGAGCATACGCTGCATTAACTTTAACAAAATTTTACATGGGAAAGGACATTTTCCACAAAAAAAAAAAAAAAATAAATAAAAAATAAATGAAACTAAATGTGCTTCGATATCTTTTTCGGAAGGCAAGCGCAAACGCTAATATCCGCATATGTGTACGTATGCCTGTGTGTGTATGTTGGAAAATTATTGTAAAGTTTTCAACTTCACTTATCTCGCGTGAAACCACAAAATTTCACATGCTTCTCTAAGCATTACCAAATCGCTGCTGGCGTCTGTCGATGGCAGTGTGAGCGAAGTGCATTAGAATAATGCTTATGTGCATATGTGTGTGTGTATGTGTGTGTGAAAGAAGGATCAATGTGCTTGCATGTGCTTATCGCGACGCTTTAAATGTTATGACAGTAGTTTAGGTGAAGGAAAAACTTTTACTAGCAACAACAAAAAAAGCATTAAGAAATGATTTGACAAAAAAAAAATCAGAAAGAAAATAAAAAAAAACTTAAACATTTTCTTAGAAGGTTAATCAGCGATAAGTGTTCTAGTAAACTTATACATATGTAAGTACGTGTGCTTAAATGTGATTTTAAGTGTATTTACCCGAGTATAACACACACACACACACATAACCTAGAAAGTGCTAAAAGTAAACTGTATTTATTTCGCAATAAGTTTTATGCCTCCACTCGAGTATTCGGCACGTCCTTGG